CGTCTTGCCGTGTGGGCCCCCGGCGGACGGGGCGTCCCCGCCATGGCGTAGCGTCCTGCTCGCTTGGCTCCAGCATCAGCCGTCATTTCCGAGAGCAAAACGTCCCCGGAGCCAAATGTGGGAAACCCATCACCGGCAAAGAGCCTGCTCGGGATGCCAGTGATTAAAGCATGGGGAAATACTAGGGAAACAGGGAAGGTCCCGCTCTGGCCGCGCTTGCTTGTTGCCCGTCGTAGCTGGCTGACCTGTCCTGGCTGGGGTGGCTGGCTCGCCCTGGAGAGGTGGGATTCCTGACGGCGATGGGAGCAGCCGGAGCGGGCGGAAAATCTCTCCCCGTGGTCCTCGCAAACATGGTGCAAGCTGGGCTTGTTGCCTGAGAGTGAGCACTGGCACCCAGGTCGCAGCCCTCGCCAGCGCGGGTGGCTCGGGGTGGTCGTGATGCAAGCCCTTGCGTGAATAAACTCTGGGAGAAACAGATTTCTGCCTAACTGCTGAGGAGGAAAGATCTAACCTTAGAAAGTCGTGGGAGAAAATAAATTCATGGGATCTTGAATTGGTGACAAACCGTAAAATAGTTTCTTCACGTAATTCATTGATTAGCAGTCTCGAAGAACCTAAGTATATTCAGTTTATTATAAGAAAAGTTGGTAATCCCTTTCCCCGGGGAGTGAGATCATCAGATGAAGGTTCAGTTCGTTTCAATGTCCCACATCCTCTCATTAGACCTTGAAGTTGGCAACGCAAGGAAACAGGAACTCCACCCTGGCTGGCTGAATTGTAGTGCTCCGCAGCTAGCTCCTGACCATCTGCCTTGGCTTCCTGTTATGACAGAGTTTTTGAACTTTCTGGGATGTGTGAAAAGTCATTATTTACCCTTCACTGTTGAGTAGGTGATGTGAAAGTGTCCGCTTAAAACATGCTGCGTATTCTTGTGTATGAGGTTTTTCTGCTTGGGTAGCATTTACTTTGCTTATCGTGTTGATTTGAGGGGTTTTTAACGTGTTTTTTCAGGTTTATTTATTTCTCTGGATCAGCCAACCCTTAGCATCCAAAAAGATGTCCTCACGGTAACTGCAAACGACACTCTAAATATTACGTGCAGGTAAGGGCAGATCTGGTCCACGTGATGTTGGTGGGGCTAATTTACGTCCTGAGTTTTCGTACAGAGTCGCAGGGGATTCGGTCTCTCTCCCGCCATCGCTCCCGTTTCTCCCCGCTGCCTTTGTGCCCCGCAGCTCGCTTTGCCCTGGCAGGCTGTAGGAACGGTGCGGGAAGGTTGCAGGAGGGAGAGGTGGGAAGCGCGGGGTGGCCTGGGGGAGGAAGCATCAGCCGGGTCCTCGTGGAACCCGCTGGTGAGCCGTGCTCTGGACGCTCCCTTTCGGGTACCACGTCCCTTAGATTCAGCACAACGTGAATCTCAAGTAGCTTCCTAAGAGGTATTAACGGTAGGTAGATTGATGTGAGTTTATCCTACGTGGCTTGATGCTCCACGTGACAGGATGAAGCCTGTTCTTCTCCATAGCTGTAGAGACTATCATGGCTGGGGTTCCCCACCTTGGCACCAGTACCGGCGCTCGTCGCATGCTCACGCTCCTCTAACATTTGCTTTCCCAGCGGTCAGAGACCACTGGAGTGGTCCTGGCCAAGCAACCAGAGCAGTGCAGAGAAGCGTGTCTCGGTGACGGACTGCAGCGATGGCCCCTACTGCAAGACGCTGACTCTCCTCAAGGTCATCGGCAACGACACAGGGGACTACAGGTGCCTTTACAGGGACAACCAGGCAGCTACAACCATTTACATCTATGTTCAAGGTAAGGGCTTGCATGGTTCTTCGGCGACTCTTCCCTGAAGCATCAAGAGAAAAAAGGGATATCAAGTATCCCAAAACAGGTTTGACCTAAAACTTACCAATCCTAGAATTTCTGATCCTGTGAAATGGTTATTTTTCCTGTTTTTGTGTTGAGTAATTACGTGACGGCGCACTAGCTGCCATCAAGAGAAGAGCCTTTGGAATTTCATACGAGGGAGGGTTACGGAGATTGTGTATTTGTTAAAAAAAACAGATCCAATCCCTTTCATGATTTGTACTCTCTGATACCATTAAAAATAAAAAAACAACCCCAAAACATAAACTTCCATGCATTCGCTGCCTGTGATGGTAGAGTCCACTTAGGCTGCAAGAGGTTTCAAACTGGGGCTGTCGGGCACGGCAGCTGAGCATCGCCGGCACCGCAAAGCGCCCAGGTACGCGCTGGGCTTAGGTACGCGCGTTCCTTGAGGCATTGCCTCCTCTCAGCGGTGGCTTTGCGCTCGTTTTCTGGTGCGCCCCGTTCCCTTTGTGTTGTTAGCTTCTAGTGACCATTTTGAAAAAACGAGATGTCATTATGTACCTGGGTTAGCTTGTTTTGTAAGATCATGAACTTACTATATTTTTTTTTTTGCTCTGACTTTGGAAAGGACGCTGCCATTGGGGAGCCGGTGTAGCATGTCACTGCTTTTAACTGATATTTCCTGCAGTGCTTAAGCAAGGCAAGTCATGCTAGGGTAAATCAGAATTTTGTCAGCAGAAAGGCTGCGGCGGCAGGAAGCTGCTCTCCCAAGTGCACCCGTTTTGAGAATGATAACTTTGTGAAGCTAGGGAGGGGACCTGTCAAAATATGTCTCCCCGTACTTAGTCTCATCATTTAAGAACAAAACTTATTTGAGAAGACATAGGTAGGGAAGGAACCAAATTGGAAAAGTTTCCTCCGTGATCCCAGGGAGGTTGTGGAGTCTCCTTCTCTGGAGATATTCCAGCCCCGCCTGGACGCGGTGCTGTGCAGCCTGCTCTGGGTGACCCTGCTTGGGCAGGGGGGTTGGACTGGGTGACCCACAGAGGTCCCTGCCAACCCCGACCATTCTGTGATTCTGTGATCACGTGACGAATAATATCCATTTACCAGCTGAATATTCTTTTAGATTACAGATCTCCGTTTGTGACTTCAGTCAGCGATCAGCTTGGCATCGTGTACATCACCAAGAACAAAACCGTGGTGGTGCCGTGCCTTGGAACCGTATCAAATCTCAACGTATCTCTGCACGCGGTAAGGAATAAAACCCCTGATTATTATAAGAGTTAGTCGAAATCACAGTGAAACAAATACATCGCATATATAAATATATATATATATATATAAATGCATTAGTTAAAAACTTCTGCCCATCCTTGGGAATTTTACAGCCCGTGATGGGAAGGTGAGTGCAGTAGCTGTACTCGCCCGTGATCCCGCGCTCTCAGATTGCCCGCGGAAGGGAGATTGCCTGACCTAGGATGTTAAAACTGGGACCCCGCAGCTATGGAAAATGGTGGACTGGAAAGTTCAGAGTTGTCTGATTTTTTTGAAACCTGACTGTGTATTTTATCAATATTTCAAACAGAAATACCCGGAAAAGATATTTGTTCCTGATGGCAAATCGATTTCGTGGGATAACAAGAAAGGCTTCACTATACCCAGTCATTTAATCAACTACGCGGGCATGGTCTTCTGCGAAGCTAAAATAGACGACGAGAGCTACCAGTCTGTGATATACATAGTCGCAGTTGTAGGTAAGCCAAAGGGTTTTGTTTTTTTGCTCTATAGCCAATGTTATTTTCCTTGCTACAACATACTGAACCAATTACATTTGGTTGGACTCTGGGTTATTCAATACTGACAGTGCAGCTAATGCAAAATGGATGTTGTGATATCTGTTACTTTTCTTTTAAATGCAACGTATTGTATTCTTGCTGGTTGATCGTTGGGATAAGTGCTTCTATTTTTAGTGTTACAGAGATGCCAGGGATTTTTCTTTTTTTCCCTGACAATGCAAGCCTTTTTCCGAAAATCACTGGGTTCTGTCCTTTGTTCACTTACCCAGGGCCCAAGTCGTAGCTGAGGGGAACTAGAGGCAGGCATCGCTCGGCAGCAGACGGGAGGGAATTGCTCTGAGGGGGTACCAAGGGAAAGGGGGAGCTGAAGGTCGCGCTGGGAGCTATGTCGCCTCCTCTCCTTCAGACCTATGTCCCAACTCTGACGAGTGTTTATGCTCTCCTGGCGTTATTTTGTCAGTTGTTCAGCGAAACCCAGAAGTAACATGATGATTCTGTGGAGGCTCAAGCCTGAGCTGAAGCTGCAGCTATTTCCCTTTTGGCTCTGAGGATGCAACAGCCTCTTCAAGCAGCTGGTTGGCACCAAGGGGGTCTCGCCTTGCTTGGCAGGAAGGCGTAGCAGCCCTCCACCCTTTACTCTTTGCAGCAGGCTCTTGGTTCTCCACCAAATTCATCAGTCTCCGCTCTGATTTGGAGCAGATTCAGAATTTATGCAGAATTTCTGCATTCAGCATATTCTGCTTTGGAATATTTAAAATATTTTCTTGCACAAAGTAAACTTTGGATAATTTTACCAACGCCAGACTGTCATTCTAAATAAAGTCCCCACTTATTGCTAGGGGTGGGGATGTGTCTCCATGATTTGTGTGTACCTTTTCCTTCCTCTAGGATACCGAATTTATGACCTGACGATGAACCCGCACTACCAAGTAGAGCTGGCAGTAGGAGAAAAACTTGTGCTCAATTGCACCGTAAGAACGGAGCTGAATGTAGGGATTGATTTTAAATGGGACTACCCTTCCATCAAGGTAAAGCTGTAATAACTTAAAGGTGCCAGTATCACAATGAAATTTGATTTGGTTCCAATGTCACTGCCCCCCTTGATCATATTGACGAAGCAGATGATAATACACAAAGAAATTGCTAGTAGGTACGGATGTGCAGAGTGTGACAGGAGGAGCACCAATAAAATTCCCAAACACCTCTGTCTTTTATCTGTTACAGGAAAAACGTGCGACCATCAGGGACTTAAAAACCACTGCAGGAGAAGTAAAGAAGTTTGTGAGCACCCTGACCATCGACAGCGTGTCCTTAAGTGACAAAGGTCGATATACTTGCGCAGCATCCAGTGGCCGGATGAACATGAAAAACAGCAGTTACTTCATTATCCATGGTATGGCATCTTCTGCTTCGGTTTTGTTGGTTGCTTGAGATTTGGGATTAATTACTGGGATGCATTGTCAAATCCAATGACAGAAATGAACCAAACCACAGCTGCAGTATTTCTCTTGCACCAACCATAGGATTATTTTTACACCACAAGCTTAGCTAGTGACAAGATTTTAAAGGATGCTGTATGTTACTGGAAGCTGTAGAATCCTGTAGGAAAATGAGCAGTGAAATAGACTGAGGTGAGCCTCTGGTCCTCTTCTGTGTTGACCACAGCATTGGAACAGGCTGCCCAGAGAAGTGATTGAGTCCTCATCCCTGGAGGTGCTCAAAAAATGTATAGATATTTCAGGACGTGGTTTAGCAGGCATGGTGGTGTTGGGTTGATGGTTGGACTTGATGATCTGCGAGGTTTTCCCCAACCTTAATGCTTCCATGATTCTATGAGCTCCTTGAAGTCCTATCAATCTGAATTTGTGTAGATGCCTTTGGAGAAGGGCTGCCTGTTGTCCCTCGAGGTGAACTTACGCTAGGTTCTAGTGGCTCTGTGAGACAAGAGTCTGGGTCAGCATGAATGAAGCTAGGAGAATAAAAATTCCAGCTTTTCCATTATGAACAGATGAATCAAATGGAGTTTCGGTCATACGGAAATGATGCAAAGGAAACAACTTTAGCTGAGTGCATGGATAAGTACGGGGCCACATCCTACAGCCTTTTCTCAAGCCCCTGTTGGGCACAGCCCCAGCGGCTCCATTGGCTTACCACTAGAAAAAAATCGCTGGCATGAGAACAGCCCATTTTTAGTCCCTGAGGCAGACAAGGTGTTGTATTTTGAAGGAGGCTGGTTTGCCTGAAATATGATTTCAGGGGCCAGAATATTAATGGCTTTTTTTTTTAAAAAAACATTAAGACTTATGATGTGGCACAGTGATTAAAGATAGACTCAATTTTCTACTGGGTTCTTTCTCTTCAGAAGCCAAAATAAGATAGTGAGTGTGCCAGATATTAAGTCCATACCACCCTAAATCTTAGTCAAAAGGCTAATCACTGTCTTAGTCTGAATGCAAGTTTATAACTCATAACAAGTAAAGTAAATCATTTTAAAGTATTCTCTGGCTGCAATGGTTCAAATACATACTTGGGAAGAGACTGAAAGTATCTAACTTTGTCACGTTGTAGTTTTGAATGCTATTTTTTCCTGGAATGTGCAGATTGAGCCAGTTTTATGATATGTATTTATATATATGTGTGTGTGTATATATATGTATATACACACACACAGATCTGACACTAGGTCTGACAGCTGGCACACCATCCTGAGAGCTGGGTCTCGTCTCTGATTTCAACAGCTCCTCGGTGGGGGAACTGGCCTGTTCCTCTATGCAAGGGGCTGGATTTTCATGGTGGGTCCATCTCTCCAGAGTCCAGTTTGGAGCCAACTGTGCTTTACCAGTGACGTCCTGTCACTGGCCTCTATTTGTCATCTGCTGTTAAGTGCTAACCCAAATGGAGACCACTTACACTTTGGTCCACTTGGAAAGACCATTTAGGTTGCTGTTTTTTGGTTTTTTTTTTTCAGAAAGTCCTTTTATTCATCTGGAGAGAATGGAGAATATGGTTGAGACGAGGCTAGGTGATACAGTCAGAATTCCTGTAAAGTTTAAAGGATACCCTCCGCCAGAGGTGAAATGGTAAGAGCCAGGACACAACGTGTTTGAGAAACGGAGCTATTCTTACTCAAGGAGAACCTCTAAAGTATTCAGAGCACTCTGTATTGCCTTCAGGTATAAAAACGGAAAAGCCATCAATGCAAATCATACGGTTAAACTTGGCTACACGTTAGTGATCACTGAAGCGGCTGAAAAGGACGCTGGGAATTACACCGTTGTCCTTACGAACCCTACCAACAAGATGCAGAAGAGACACACGTTTACCCTGCTTGTGAACGGTAAGTGGTGTACCAAAGGGGTACCTTTCTTTCGTGTGTGGATGTGGTCTTTTACCATTCTTAGGATTAAATTAATCCCACAGCTATGAAGATTGGGGGTGGAGACCAGGAGGAGAGTGCTTGAACCTCAGCCCAGCAAGGGCAGAGGTGGCCCATCTCTCTTGGTTCCAGGACGTGCTGCTCAAGAGGCTGCACGCTCCCGGTCTTGTTATGATGATGTTGTGTGTGAGTTTTTTTGTTTTCTGTATATTATTTCTTTGCCTCTGTGTCCTGCTCTTTTCCTGCCCTCCTTGCTGGCTGTACTTCCAGGGTCCTCCCCCACCCCGCTCCATCCTGGCCCTGTCCCACCTCGCTCATCCTTCCTGCCCCACGCTGGCTGTCCCTCCTCTTCTGCCCTGCCCTGTGCAACCCTCCTCTTCCTCCTACTCCTCCTCTCTGCTCCCCAGGAAACAGCCTAGCCCCCACGCTTTGAAGACCACAGGTCCTGGAAAGGGCAGTAAGGCTACACACGGTGGGATCAGAGCTGGGGAATAATATGCATTTAATGGTTGGGCATGGTGCTGGGAGTCCAAGAGCTGTGTTTTAAACCGGGGGGTAGTGAACGGGTATTTTATAGGAGATCCTAAGCATTGCATCGTGAGGGCCTGATCCTCAAGGTTCACCTCTTCCCAGCATGTCCTTGGGCATGCTCTGTGTTGCACTCGGACACGGTGCCTGGCATGAATTGGTCGCCGTGGGTCTTGCGTGTGGATGCGGAACCATTGGCAGGAGGTGTCACTTGCTGCTCTCCCCTCCAGTCCCCCCCCAGATCGGCGAGAACGCACTGCTGGCCCCCGTTGACTCCTACAAGTATGGCTCGACGCAGGCGCTCACCTG